GACAAGGGGTTCAAAAGTTAGTAAAAAGTCCTTTGTGACTAAATGAAGCATGGCTTTCTGGCCCAAACCAGTTTCAGAGTCTTCTATCCTGGAGATAAGTAATTCAATTATCTCCCAGGATAGACACAAGACTCCATTAAGCACATAGTTGCAAAAAGACACAAAGCACTTTAAAATACATAAAGTCACATTTATACATAAAACACAGACATTTCACATATCCCCAGATAGCTCAGGTCTGAGCGCACATTATTAAGTGAATGGCGCTCAGACCACACGAATACAGTTTAATCGCCATGGAGCCAAAGTCTTTACAGTCAGTTTCATACGAATGGGCTCCATGGGATTCCTATCTGGGAATTAGCAACACATTCAAACAAATCTACAAACCCCAGGCGAAAGCAGATGAAGCTTTTCTGCAGGCAAATAAAGTCTTTTAAAAGGGGGCCATAGTCCAAAGGCAGCAGGCGAGCAACCAGGCTTCTCCAATGCAATGTGGCGAGATTGGTCTCGTCACATCTCTCCTCTTTTCCAAACAGACTAACAGGGTATCTGACCTCCTGCCGGTCAGTGCCCTTGTTAGTCCAGCAGCCCACCCACAACAAATAATCAACAGCACAGCCCACCCACAATAAATGGTTACTACACCTGGGTAAAGGAGAAGCTTGTCCATGTCCAAGGTGCCTCACCACGGCTGTGCTGGGTACGGGTACGCTGACTTGGTGGGTTGCTGCGTGGGCAGAGACCAGCGGCACTCTGCCCTGTTGCCAGCGCTACTGGGAGGGTAGCCTGGTGGAAGCCTGGTTGTTTAAATACACCGCTCTGCTGCTGCTGCTGGAGACTGACTGTCTCCCCTTTAGATGCACAGTCCTGCTGCTGGAGACCGACCGTCTCCCCTTTGGTTACCCATCTCTGCTGCTGGAGGGGGAGACCGACTGTCTCCCCTTTGGCTAAACAGCCCTGTCGCTGGGGGCAGGACCGACCGTCCCTACCCCCTGTGCTGGCAGTGTAGAGACTACGGTCCCATCTGCACGGTTGTGGGGCTTACTGTCTCCCCCTGGTACATTAAGCTGCCGCTGGGGAGAGGAGGTAACAAGCTCCTCTCCCATACATACTTCCAGCTGCGGGGGAGGGAGACCGACTGTCTCTGCTCCCAATACAGAGTCCTGCTGCTGGGGAAAGGAGACTGGGCTCTCTATTCCCGGTAGGACACTCTGCCGCTGGGGAATGGAGACGGGGCTCCCAATTCCCAATGATCTGTGCTGCTGCTGGGGAATGGAGACTGGGCTCCCAATTCCCAAAGCATCATACTGCCACTGGGGAATGGAGACTGGGCTCCCAATTCCCAAAAAATCACGCTGCCGCTGGGGAGGGAGGACACTGCTCTCCTCTCCCTGGACTTCACACTGCCTTCCCGGCATATCACTTGGCTGCTGGGGGGCAGGAACAACTACCTCTGCCCCCTGTAACTCAGCCTGCTGCTGGGGAGGGAGGACACTACTCTCCTCTCCCTGCACTTCACACTGCCTTCCCGGCATATCACTCTGCTGCTGGGGGGCAGGAACAACTACCTCTGCCCCCTGTAACTCAGCCTGCCGTTGGGGAGGGAGGACGCTGCTCTCCTCTCCCTGCACTTTACGCTGCCTTCCCGGCATATCACTCTGCTGCTGGGGGCAGGAACAACTACCTCTGCCCCCTGTAACTCAGCCTGCCGCTGGGGAGGGAGGATACTGCTCTCCTCTCCCTGCACTTTACACTGCCGCTGGGGAATGGAGCTCGGGCTCCCAATTCCCTGCAATACCGGTGGAGAGACCTCGGTCCCCTCTCCACCTGCCGCCTGGGGTTCCTCCCAGTAAATTTCAACAATATCTTCCCAGCTGAATGGGTCTGAGACTGGATCTGTCACTCTGCTGTCCTGCGGAGCCTTCCTAATGGAGTGGAAGAGATCTCGGTAGTCCTGCTCCAGTTCCCACTCCAGGGTTGCTAGGTGAGCCAGGTCTTGCTCTACCTCATGGGGTCATCCCAGTCATGCCTAGCCTCCCTCTCGTAGAAAATTTCCTGAAGTCTGTTCTGCGCAGGGCTCCCGAAGTCAGGCTCTGCAAAGGACTCCCATAACAAGCCAGGACCATCAAACTCCTCTCCCTCTGGCTTGTCATGCTCAGCTGTCCAGGGTATATACTGTGCCATATACCACCAGAGCGCCTGGTAGGCATCCTCCAGCCATAGCTCCTGCCACACCCGATGCTCTAGTTCCTTCACCCATTCCTCCAGGGGCTGCTCTCCCAGGAAGGGCATCCGCAGGGCCACTTGCTTCTGCAACCGCTGCTCTTCACTGGGGAGACTCTCACCCCGCTGGTATTGTACATTATCCAGGGCCTGGTACCAGATGCCTTTCCTTAATGCATCCCGGCCATCCAGGCCCTCCTCCTTGTATAACACTGCTGGTTCCATTCTGTTGCTTTTAGGGTCGCTGTACTGGGACATGCGTTGCCCCCACTTGTAAATCCAAAGAAATGGTGTCTCCTGTAGCTGTCCTTCTGGCTGTAGGAACGATCCCACCGCTGCCACCAATTGTAACGGACCGTTTTGCACACAAGGGGTAAAAACCGTTTAGGCGATCGGCCCCCTTTCCAGAGATCCAGGCACAGCTACTGCAGAACACCAAAACTCACGAACTGGATACAAAATAGCACTCCAACTCCCGAACTGGAACCTCCCAAATAGCTGCTAGCAGACGAACAGGAAAAGCAGACGAACAGCTTACACTCCTGGCAATCAGTCTCTAACAGCATACAGTGAATCCCCCCAAGAACGAGACAAGGCTCCGTGTTGAGGGTCAAGCAGTGGTCTGAGGTGCTGGCACACCCAGCCTGGTTTTTATTACAGTCTTGCAAATACAGGACCGCCCACAGGGAGGTATAAAACAACCAATCACATCACAGTTACATCCCACATATTCCCTCCCCTTATCCTGAGAGGAAACTCAATTATACAAACAGTTAAAACATACTTTCTACCCAACTTTCATAACTCCAAAACCATACATCACATTCACATAAAATTACATATTCACAATCAATCCATTCAGGGGAACAACATATTCAAAAATGGCACAAATCAGACAAAGGGGTTCAAAAGTTAGTAAAAAGTCCTTTGTGACTAAATGAAGCATGGCTTTCTGGCCCAAACCAGTTTCAGAGTCTTCTATCCTGGAGATAAGTAATTCAAATATCTCCCAGGACAGACACAAGACTCCATTAAGCACATGGTTGCAAAAAGACACAAAGACAGTAAAACACTTTTTACAAATACGCTTAGGAGTCACATTTATTACATAAAACACAGACATGTAACATATCCCCAGATAGCTCAGGTCTGAGCGCACATTATTAAGTGAATGGCGCTCAGACCACACGAATACAGTTTAATCGACATGGAGCCAAAGTCTTTACAGTCAGTTCATACAAATGGGCTCCATGGGATTCCTATCTGGGGTATAACACATTAAAACAAATCTACCGAACCCCAGGCAGAAAAGCACGAATTAAACTTTTCTGCAGGTAGAAAAGATGTCTTTTAACAGGGGGCCATAGTCCAAAGGCAGCAGGCGAGTAACCAGGCTTCTCCAATGCAATGTGGCGAGATTGGTCTCGTCACACTAAATCACGAGTTGCACTTGATACTGAATAATCCAAAATCAAACGTGAACACTTCTATTAAAATAGTGAATTAAAATAATGCGGTAGAGCTATCATTGCTGCATCCTTTGGAAAAGTAGGTCTATGTTAGATCTAATAAGCCGTTTGACACAGAAGGAGCAGCACAAACCACTTACGCGCGCGTTTCGCCCAAGCTGGCTCATCAGAGGAGAACCGGCTATAACGAATAATGAGTTTAAAAAGGGTAAGTTGAAATCTGATTGGTAAGTACTTGTTACGTGTGCAATGATGTCATGGATTATCATTTTAACTCTCCTACATGGGACGTGTATTGGAGATCCTAAACGTAACCCCTTATGGTATATTGGAATTCAATATCAATAATTTTAATGACAGTGTGCATAATGTTATTAGAGCAATTTGCTCCAATTAATTATTAATGTTTTACAACTTAGGATAAGAGTATTCAGTGGTGATACATGTATAGATGTTAAAATAATATCCAATTGAATGTAACTCGAGTTACTAGATAGGAAAACTTTATTTAGTTTTAAATACATTGTTATATAAAATGTTTATCTGGTAGACTGATATCCTACTGCTCTCCATGTGAATAGATATCTGAACTGACCTAAATATTACGAGTAGTTCCCCACAGGATTACACCTCTATTGGTTGTATTCTTGACAGCCACTAGAGGATCATGACCAAGTTTGACTCAGTTATAGGACGTTGGAAGCATTTGATTGTGCATGTGTGTCTCTTTCCAATACTTCTCAATGTGAAGCAATGGAATGAACATGAAGCAAGGCCTTCAGAATAACATTGTGGGAGGTGAGAGGGGGCGGCAGAGGGGGGGCTCAAAAAAACTTTCTTGCACCAGGGCCCTCTCTACATAAGTTCTGCCCCTGTCTGTGGGATATGCTGGAACAACAAATCAGATCCATGGAGGCCCCACCTCGCAACTTGCAGGACCTATAGGATGCTGCTGCTAATGTCTTAGTGACCGATACCACACGACACATTCAGAGGTAACGTGGAGTCTGCCTTGGCGCATCAGAGCTGTTTTAGCAGCGGGGGACGGGGACCTACACGATATTAGGCAGGTAGTTTTAATATTGTTGCTGATATATATATATAAAACAAACGGGAAGCATAGCCGAGTTTGGACATTTCGTAGCTTTAAATTATAAATTCATATTGATAATGAATTCTCACTATAATGAGTAACCCTGTGTATGAGAATGACAGACACAGTCAGACCACCTCTCCAGCACAGCCATGACTGGCCCAGGTAGCTGTGCGCGGCGCCTTTAAGACATGTTTCCTGTAGAGGAGAGGCATGCGGTCGGGTTGGTCACATGACTCGAGTCTTGTGACTGGCCTCATACAGCAGGGAGCTGAGCGCAGGATAGTTTGGGAGCTGCTTGTGGCGGGGGGTGGGGGGCTTTACAGACCCGGCGGACACTGAGCGCTGAGAAGAAAGCTTTGTACTGGTGGACACGGGCAGTGTGGTCTTCAATATCTCCCCCAGGCTGTGTCAAACTTGGGTCCGGCGGCAGCCTTGACAGGCAGCAGCTTTCACTTTCACCGGCAGTCTCATTCCTGGTGTAGGGGGGGTCAGCCCTCATTGGGAGACACGATGGACAGCAAGCCCCTGCTTCAGGACCGACCACCAGCCTACAGCCCGCCCGTGCAGGGGGTCTACGACCACGGGCAGCAGAATTATGGGACGATTCCCGGGGCACCCATGGCAGGAGCCCCAACAGTGTACCCACCTGTATACCCTCAGAGCTCTGGAACAGGTAGGAGTCTGCCCCCCTGCTCTCATCATCTCCTCTGTGTGCATTATTTGGTTACATGGAGAATGGGTATTACAATAATACATTTTTATTTCTCAATTTCCTAATTCACCTAATGTATGTGCAGTTTATGAGTACTTGGTTGCTATCTATACCTGATCTGTGTGTAAGGAAATGTATCAATAGCTAATAAGTAAATATCTTATTTTAATATTTTAAATTGGTTTTATGCTGTTGAGCATTGGATTGTGGTTTTTAAACTGGGGTTAGACTAGGAAATTGATTTGAACGGGGAGGAGGAGGGATATTTGTCAAGGCAAAACAGTTACTATTCTTCTGGTCCAAAATTCTAAATGTGTTCTATTGGTTGCCATGGTGCTAACTCCTTGTTTAACCCCTTAAGGACACATGCCATGTGTAACATGTCATGATTCCCTTTTATTCCAGAAGTTTGGTTCTTAGGGGGTTAACATTTAACCCCTGAATAGAATATTTTTGGGGGTTTGATAACTCTCCCACAGACATTAAATCGCGTATCTGCATTAGAACTGTATACATACCTTTTACTTTTCATTAAAGGACCACTCTAGGCACCTAGATCACTTCAGCTTAATGAAGTGGTCTGGGTGCCAGGTCCCTCTAGGATTAACCCTTTTGACAACACATAGCAGTTTCAGAGAAACTGCTATGTTTATAATAGGGTTAATCCAGCCTCCAAATCCTCTAGTGGCTGTCTCATTGACAGCCGCTAGAGGCGCTTGCATGATTCTCACTGTGAAAATCAGTGAGAACACGCAAGCGTCCATAGGAAAGCATTGTAAGACCGGCTGAATGCGCACGCAGCTCTTGCCGTGCGTGCGCATTCAGCCGAAAGGGAGGATCGGAGGAGGAGAGCTCCTCACCCGGCGTTGGAAAAAAAGGTACGTTTTAACCCTTTCCTCTCCCCAGAGCCAGGAGGGAGGGGGTCCCTAAGGGTGGGGGCACCCTCAGGGCACTATAGTGCCAGGAAAACAAGCATGTTTTCCTGGCACTATAGTGGTCCTTTAATTGACTACAGACATGGGATCAATAATGTACATGCAGATTTGGACAAGCCATCTGTATAATTTATATAACATACTTTTTGTATTTTTTTTTTTTTTAAATCATTAAGATTTTTTTACTTTTATTTTTTAAATTATACTGGTTACTTTTAAAATGTGGGTTTAAAGCTTCAGATTTCAGAATTCGCACTGATCAAAGATACGCCTTTTGTGTGTCACATGAGAAATCTAAAAAAAATAGTCATGTGCTTGTAATCAATTTTTTTTTTTTTTTTTTTAAACAGGTATTATGAAATCTTTTGGCACTTACTAAACAATACACAGAAATGGATTATGTAATAGTTATTTTTTTTTTATTCTATCATGAATGTGTAAATTATTTATTTTTTCACTGCCCAATTAATATAATCTTATTTTTACTGTACCTTCATTACAATAGGAGTTTATCCACTGAAAACATATACAACCTTTATGGAAATGTGAGGAAAAATAGGAAGTTGTACATTTTTATTTGTAGTTTCTAGTGTCCTATATTTGGCACGGCGCCATTTTCTTCCATTCCGTGGAACTGACATCCACAATTTTAATTTATCCCCTATTTGAACTAACAGTTTCAATTATCATGTGTGTTCCAAGTTGAGCCACTAAACCCTCATGAGTAGTAGTTATTATAAAAGTATTAAAAAGCATGACAAATGTATAAAAAGATGCATATTTGAAGAGTTAAGAACTTGCTCTTCTTCCACCACCTATCCACTTGATCTGTTTCCTCTCACCTTATTTAATCTCTCCCTTCCTTGTCTTGCAATGCATATCAGTAATTTTATTTTGACTGTTTTTCATTCCTAAAAAAGTACTTTTCTTGTCCCAGATTCTCTTCCAAACGATTGTTCCATATTTCTGCTCTACTACACTTCTTAGCTTCTAGAGCAGGGCTCAGCATGTCCACTAGCCGTTGGCGAGTGAAATATCAGCACTGGTGGGTCTGCCATGGAGTCTCTATGCTTGCAGTGATGTGAGACCTAGCTAGTATCATAAAGTGAACGTTTAAGCCCAGTTTTTGGCTTCACCGATGTTTCTCATTTTCTCTGTACTAATGTTCTCCTTGACTCTACTATTTCTAGTGATGCAGATGTTTTTTTGTGATGCTGCCCTCCTGGCCATTCGCTACCTGGGAGTTAGTCTTGATTCAAGGTCTGATCTTTTTCCTACAAATCCAATCTGTCTCCAAATTATCTAACTTCTATCTTTAAAAATATTGCTTCTATTTTCCTCTATCAAATTCATGATGCAGCTAAGGCACTTGATCAAGCCTTTGTCATTTCACGTCCTAATTTTTGCAGTTCACTATTTTATTCACAAATACACCCCTTCTTCCATTTGCTCTACTAGTGATCCTTTTTAGTATTGTTTGTTCTCTCGAATTCTCATCTACATGACTTTTCAATAGTTGCACCATTTCCATGTGCACCCGGGCAAACAAGAGTAATCTCCAAGCACTCAGGGTGTTCAAACCAAAGGCAGGTTTATTGGGTCAAAAAAATGTGACCGAGCAGCAACGTATCGACCTGCTATGAGGTCTTTGTCAATCTAGTTGCACCCACATTGATTCAGTCTTACTGATTTCAGCCTAAAGGCCACAAGACCAGCACGACGAGGGCAGAAATGTGATGTAATACTACTTTCAAAGCGTCATGGGGGACGCCGATGCCTGAATAGGTAGTACACTATAGCATTTGGAATAAATGTTGGCATTCCTAAAGCTATAGTGTTCTTTTAAGCAGCAAGTGCTGTCCCACTAACATTCTGGCCAAACTCAATTTATGAACTTGAGTGAGCTTGTTCTACTACTTTTGGAGAGACACTCATAGTACCTTTAACACAGTAACTGATTGTAGTGGTTATGGTGCTGTTAAAGGGACCTTCTATATTCTAAGCACCATAAAACATTTTTTATCATTGAAGTGGTTATAGTGCTGCAATAGTGTTCCTTCACCTTTTAACTCTAGTTTGTGAAACTGGTAAAGTAGCACTTCACCTAGCTCTGCTGTAAATAAAAAATAAAATTAAAAAAAAGCAAGGAATTACACCTCTTGGGTCTCCCGGGATGTTAGACTGTGTTCCACTTAAATTTAAGTTATAGTCCCATTCCACAGCACAGGGTATGGGATAAGAGGCAGCAGGCTACTCTGCTCCCACCACTTTCATTTAAAAAAAACAAAAAAAAAAACAACCTATTATCCCCTGGTATTTGTTTTATCCAGTTTTGCTTTTTTAATTAACAAAAAATATTAAGCAAAATTTGCACAATATAAGTAGATATTATGGAGTTTGGTTCTTCTGAATCAGTTTTTTTTTTTTTTTTCCCTTTTCCCCTACCTATCAGTGCATAAGTATAATAACTTCTGCTGCACTGGCATGCAGGGTTTGACCCCTATTTTAAGTGTATACGTCATAGAAGAAATGGGTGGGTGGGGGGGAGAAATGATCACCAGCACACAATGATTAATACTTTAATCTCAGTAAGTGTAACACCTCTTGATCGTTCTATAATAAGATAAAAAAAGCAAACATCACATAATAGATAATAGAGCCTATAGACCCAGGACATACTTGAAAACGAGAGAAATCTTTAATGTATCTTTCCTGGTAAAATATTTTATAAATAAATATAGCCTGAGGCTGCTTGGAAAGGCTCTGGAAAGTGTGAGTGAAGTGTTGCACTTCCTGAGATTAAAGGACCACTATAGGCACCCAGACCACTTCAGCTCAATGAAGCTTAGTGGAGAAAAGGCAAGTGTTTAACCCCTTCGTCTCCCCAGATCCCGGCGGGAGGGTGGCACTGAGGGGTGGGGGGGGGAGGGGGAACCCTCAGGGCATTAGAGTGCCATGGAAAATGAGTGTTTTTTCCTGGCACTATAGTGGTCCTTTAAGTATTAATCACTGTGTGCTGGTGATACTTTAGGCCGCCCCATTTCTTCTTTGACGTATATGTGTTTAGTGTCCTGTGAGTGATTTTCAGACACTGGGCGTAGCTGCATTAAAGTTTTATCTAGTGCCAATCTACCCATATTCTATCTTATTTTGGGATTGATTATTTTTGTATTTTTTTTTCCTGTTTTAAATGTGTTTAATAGATAATGCAAGATAAAATTTTTGCCAAAAAGCAAAGTTTACAAAAAGTTACTATTAAAGACCCTAAATATTGCTGCATTTCTACAAGTGTCAGCAGCTGGAAGAATCCTCATGACCAAGAAGAGGTTTCCTCTCATTCTGCTCTACGTAGTCTGATCTTATAAACCTCTGTTGATACTTCGTATGGTTTACCTTACTTAAAACTAAACTAAACTGGTTATTTGTGTGTGTGTGTGTGTGTGTGTGTGTGTGTGTGTGTTTTATGGATGAGTACACAGGTGTTTGAAGCAATGATACAATTATATATAGGCACTTTTTTCTTCTTCACACCTTGTGTTTTGTTATCAGATAAGCTGTTCCCCTCTTGCTAAAGGAACTGCACACTTCAAACACATGCTATTGTATCCTTAACATTGGTGCAGTCACAAATAAGTTTAGTGATGAATTTGTTCTGCTTTTAATATTTAAATGAAACATTATTATTATTATTATTATTATTATTATTATTACCGCCACCATTTATATAGCGCCAACGGATTCCGTAGCGCTTGATGATCAGGTACAATATTAAAACCACCTGCCTAATATGGTGTAGGGTCCCCCTCTTGCTGCCAAAACAGCTCTGTGTCGTCGAGACATGGACTTAACAAAATTTCTGAACTTGTCCTGTGGTATCTGGCACCAAGACATTAGCAGCAGATCCTTTAATCCCTGCAAGTTGCGAGGTGGGGCCTCCATGGGTCAATTTCTTGTTAAATCACATCCCACAGATGCAGATTGAGATCTTGGGAATTTGGAGGCCAAAGCAAAACCTTAAATTCATTGTCATGTTCCTCAAACCATTGCTGAACAATTTTCGCAGTGTGGCAGAGTGCATTCTCTTGCTGAAAGAGGCTGCTACCATCAGGGAACACCATTGTCATGGAGTGTACATGGTCTGTAACAATCTCTATGTAGGTGGCACATGGCAAAGTAGCATCCACATGAATGTCAGGGCCTAATGTTTCATAGCAGAATATTGCCCAGAGCATAACACTGCCTCCGCCGACCTGCCTTCCTTCCGATGGTGCATCCTTCTTTCATCACTTCTCCAGGTAAACAGCACACACACCTGGCCACCCACCTGATCTGAAAGAAAAGGTGATTCATCAGACCAGGTAACCTTCCATTGCTCCTTGGTCCAGTTCTGATGCTCACATCCCCATTGAAGGCGCTTTCACTAGTGTACAGGGGTCATTGTGGCACTCTGACTGATCTGCGGCTACACAGCCCCATACGTAGCAAACTCTGATGCACTCTGTGTTCTGACACCTTTCTATTATGGACATCGTTAAGTTTTCCAGCAGTTTGAACGACAGCAGCTCTTCTATGTGAATAACCCAGACAGAGCAGCCTTTGCTCCCACATGCACCAATGAGGCTTGGGCGCCCATGACCCTGATGTCGGGGCACCAGTTTTGGTACGTACTAACCACTGCATACTAGGAACACCCTACAAGACTTGCCATTTTGGAGATGCCTGACCAATTCATCTAGCCATCACGATATGACCCTGGTCAGTATGTAATATTCAATTTCTTTCCTGTGTTAGATACATCAAAGTCCAAGAGGAAGAAAAATCCCACATTTTATCTTTGGCAGCTCTTATCTGCAATGTGTGTGTCACCAGCAGAAAATGGTACTTTGAGCTCTGCTTGGGTTATATAATCCCAAGTGCAGTATGAGTTTTGTTTAACACTTTTTTTGATTCTGTTAATAAAGGAAAGCAAGGTACAGAAATGCCACCAAAGCAATTATTTTTAGGTTTCACAGACCCTATAGTAGTCATAATCTTGATTTTTCTAAGAGGAGCAATGTTCTCAACGAATGGTGCATTCAATAATTTTTTTTGTTTGTTTGTTTGTTTGGTTTGTTTCAAACTCTGTTTCCAGCTATTCGATCAATCTTTTTAGGACGTGTTGTTCACTTGATAAGTGTTGTAGTTTGTAAGCAGATGGCAGTCTGGTTTTGTGAATCGATGTGATGCAATTGCCTTGTTTGGGGCCATTTTTTTTTTAATACTAGGATCCAGAGTCACAAACACCACTTCACACATTACAGTATAAATCTATTGCAGTTCTAGTTGCTGTCTTTTTGCCTCCCTGCAAGTTCCCATCTAAGCCCCAGATTTTCATGGATTGAAGAAAAAATGTTGGCATGTAATTGTTTACTGAAATGGGCATCTTCTTGTATATACCACGAAGGGGGTTTGTAATCCAACAGTGAAAATGTTGCCTACGGCAGATGAACTGGGAATATAACGAAGTTGAATGTTGTGCAGGCTTCCATTTAGAACATGTAGTTGCTTAAGTAGAGTTGTCTAGTTCCTTGTGTTCAGCTGTGCAGAGAGGAAAAGTAGTCTTTGAACCACTTGTTGATGCGACATGCTCTGTGCAAGTTCCTTTTGGTTAGGAATCTATAAAAAAAAAATAAAAAAAAAATTCCTGTGTGTCATATGTCATACATAGCGTAAGTGCTGATGGTGAACATTTATGTCATTACGCAATGAAGAAATGCATTATTTTTATTTCCTTTTTAATGGTATTTGTGAATTTCTTTCTGACTTCTTTTTGGGGAGGATTTCCTTCCACCACAATGCATGAATTTAAGTTTAAAAATTAAATGCTGCAATGAATTGAAGAACTTGTTCCTTTTTTCACTCTTTATGTAACATAATATTTGTTTTCTCTTTTAGGATATATTTCTCCGCCGCAACAAACTTACCCCACCAGTTATACCATAATTCAGCAACCCGCAACAACTACGACATCTGTTGTTGTAGTCGGAGGGTGCCCTGCCTGCAGGTAAATGGTGACATGATTCTATAAACGTGCCATCACCAAAAACTAACTGAAAATCCGTTTTGATGCTTATAGTAGAGTCCATGGGGATGGGAGGACGGGAGGGAAGGTATATTCAATGTCCTGTCCGTGTCCATGTTACTAAAAGCTAGTAACATCTGGTGAAACACCGCTTACTATTATAGACTAAACATTTTCATTAGCAGCCCATGTTGCTGTGAATACTAGGGCATATGTAGAGAAAAACCATACAGCACTGAACACATTAAATAAATCTGCCAAAACAGCCAGACATGCAATAATAATCTTAAAAAGGAAATAAAAAATGACAACAGTTCACAATTAAAAACAGACGTTAAAGCATAACTAACTTTTTTGTTGTGACAGTAAATATAATCTATGAACCTTGTCTGATGATGTGAGCCAACCAAATAAGGAATTAGTGAAGTAGATTAGGAACCTTATGGCTAGCCTACATTTATAAATTTTATTCACATAATTCTCAGGCAACCTTAAAGGAACACTTTGGTGTTAGGACTTTAAAGATGTATTCCTAACACTAAAGTGTCCCTCTGCACCCCCTTTCCCTTATCCAGTAAAGGGTTAACACCCACCCCCTCCCCAGAAAAAGTTGAACGCTTGCTTGAACCCAGTGCTGATGTCCCATGGTCCCACTCCACCTCAGCTGCCAGCCGATGGGATGGGCTAACGCACATGCGCGGTGAACGCGCATTATGCCTTTTCCCATAGGAAAGCGTTGAATCAATGCTTTCCTATGCGGTTTTGCTTGATGCTGGATATTCTCATGCAAAGCATGATGGGATGGGAAGGGCTAACGCACATGCGCGGAGAACGCGTATTATGCCTTTCCCCATAGGAAAGCGTTGAATCAGTGCTTTCCTATGGGGTTTTGCTTGATGCTGGATATTCTCATGCACAGCGTTAGGACATCCAGCGCTGTTTCAGAGTCAAATGTGAAACTGCAGGAGGCACTTCTAGTGGCTGTTTGGTAAACAGCCACTAGAGGCAGTCTTGGCACTGCACACAGATCACCTCAATGAGATGAAGTGGTCTGGTTTTCTATAGTGTCCCTTTAAAGGGATACTATAGACACCAGAATTGCTAAGCTTAATGTAGTGTTTATGGTTAAAATCGACTGTCCCTGCAGTATCAGCGATGCAAACTGTCTTTTCTAAGTAAAGGCAGTGTTTAGACTGCTTCCTAATGACCCCTCTAGTGGCTGGGTCTCAGCCAATAGACACTTCTTGTTGCAGTCTTGCAATCTTACTGAGGTTTGGTGTTTTCACTAATCTCTAATCTGTCTAATCTATACAGCTAGGGAAACGATCTGTTAGAAACATATTTGTATTTCTTACATTCGAGCGTTCCAGGCCAGCAGTACTTTTTCTGACCTTTCCTCCCAGTTGCTAAATAATTCTTACTTCCCGTCTAGTGAAGTTCTGCAAATAAAATCACATGACATAATCACATAAAAATGGGTTATATTGTAACATGGCAGAAAAAGGGCTCTGTGTTCCTTTTTTTAGCATGTTGATAATTAGAGGTGACAGTCACATGGATAGACTGTGCTTATAACTGTAAGAGGCATTGCAACATCAAATTCACATAAGTGGTATCACGAGAATAGCCTTTTGCTAGTAATGAAAATAAAAGAATGTTGCCAGATCCCACATTGCAGCTGGGTTTCCTTTTTCAAGATCTTATAACCATTTAAAAATAAGAAGCAACATTCTATAGTGCTGTGTAGTAGTTAGGAATTTATCAATTCATTTTAATGCATTAGACTGAGGAAACCCATACATAGCATTAAAAACTAGTTCTTTATTCCTCTTTTCAATTTGGTTGTCAGACCACAGTTTAATGAATAAATATTAGAATTAAATCTGATCTGATACTTCCCAGGAAATTATTTATGTTTCTGCCCTATATTTTTTTTAAAAGAGATGTACTATATTGAAATGCCTATCAATGTTACTAGCAAAACATGCTTCTCCCAAATGCAATGACATATACAGTAAATTCAAAAGATGCTCCTAATATAAAGTGCCATAAACTGTATCAATGAAGCAAAATTTTCTATGACGAATCGCTTGCAAGGTACCTCCAAAAGCTAAAGCTACAATGTACAAGTGCACATTCCAAGTCTCCACTAGGGGGACCCAAGGTCATGTTAAAGGGGGTACCCAGAATACAAATGAAGTAATTACAAAATCTAATCAACTCTTCAAAAATAAATATTTAAAAAAGAAAGTCCCTACAAAATTAGCACAAAAAACAGAGAAACTAACTTTAATAATATTGAATAAGTATGAGACTTAACTATTTTGCTTTTTTAGACGGACTATACAAACACCCTTTAAAATTGAAGAAAGGACATAAACAGGGGGTTATCTTTGAAAAAGTAACTCATTCTAATCAGTACATCAGTATTGTGAATAATTCAGATTACTGAGATCCCCGTTTAATCAAACTATCCAGCCTGTTGTATAGCTATGGGATACTAAATAAGTAGCTATATCTCCAGAGATGTTCAATTAGGATTAGTATCCAGGGGAGGAATATGTCTAATATGCTCCGTTAGTATTCGTGTATAAACTCCACGCCCTTGGTATTCTGTACCTGGACACAATACAATGTCGAGGGGATAAATTCTACTTACTTAACTGGTTATGTGACTGACCTAACTGCTAGCAGACCTAACTGCTATTAAATGCGAGTGAGTAATGATGGGGGTAATCATAGAGGGTGGCTCTATATCAAATGCTCCATCTAAATAAGATGATCAGGGTAAGTCTAACAGAGATACATAATTGTAGAAATAATCCAGGCACTACAATAGATTCCAAATTTCAAGGCAATTTATTCGAACCAGGGCTGAAATGTTGCTTTGTAGTTCCTGGTTCGAATAAATTGCCTTGAAATTTGGAATCTATTGGAGTGCCTGGATTATTTCTACAATTGTCTATCATTGGTCCTATTTGGGTACTGGGACTTTCCAAGAAGCACCCTGGAATCCATAGTGAGGGGTAGAGTGCGCTTCCAACTTTGGCTATAACAGAGATACATAGACAGGAAGTGTCTCAAAAGCATAATAAAATGAAGTGATGATGGTGCTTTTACTGTCACATTTGTTTGCTTAAAATAAAAAAAGCGCATCACATGAGAAAAAGGTTAACATTGTTATAGGTGATCTATTTAGGTTTTACCCGGCAACCAGTCAATTACCCAAATAATCCCAAAAATAAGGAAAGAAGTGTGACTAGAATGTCCTAACTATAAGAACAAATTAATTATTAAAACTTAACTTTTATTGTAGTTAAATAAACAAACAATTCTAGTAAATATTCTATTATATTGGATATATATTTCCTATACTAATGGGTTCATGCCCTACCCAGCCTTTGGGACGTCGATAATGGCACTCGCACCCTTCTTTCTATACTAGTTATTAACTAAATTAGGCTATTGTACTAAAGAGACTAATTTCTTTTTAAGTAAGTTCTGTGACATATCTGATGAAAAATCAGTTCTCAGACAGATGTATGATTTATCAAGTTAAATGTATCATGTTCTTAATAATTATTTTTTTTTAATCACAGGGTTGGTGTTCTGGAAGAATCATTTACCTGTCTGGGATTATTATGTGCCATTTTCTTTTTCCCAATTGGGATCCTCTTCTGCCTTGTGTTAAGGCAGCGAAGATGCCCTAACTGCGGAGCAACGTTTGGCTAACACGATCAACGGAAATTGTAGCTCACAAGGGCTTTATATCATATACGTCTGTTTTCTTCTGTAAATCTTATTTTGTGCACAATCTTTCTCTTTGATTTAAATAGCATATTTGTATTGGGGTGATTACCTTGTGTTTTTTTGTTTATTTGTATCATTTTTGTTTTCCTGCTTTTTTTTGCATGGGGTAGAAAAAATTCTCCGTGCCATAGATTCATGTGGAGGTACAGAATGCCCACATACTGGTGCCTTTTTTTAGACTGTACAACAAATCCTGTCTGTCCTCTGTGTTTTATAAAATGGAGAACAAATTCAGTTTCATTTACTTGTTATTTGTGTGTTTTGTCCAATATGTTTCACTTTCTATTATGTCTCTTAAAAATAAAACCATAAAATAAGCACTGTGAATTTATTAGTTTCAGTGATCACTCTAAAGAACAAATATTCCTTCTGTATTAAAACCACTGTCCTCATCTAGGAGGAAATTAGATCACTGTGGATTTTATATCTATATATAAAATTCTGTTTTGTACTGATATTTGTAGCAATGTGTGTGTTTTTTTTTAAATTTCTTTCCACTAGTTCAATTTTAGGATCAATATCTGTTTGTTCGTCTCTGTAGTTCTCTGCTTAGTAAAGTTTTTAGGGATTTTTTTTTTCTGTTAATCTGTTTTGGTGAATGGCAATTCAATCACGGAACGAAGCATGTATGATGTTAACTTTGTAAAGTTCTTCTGCAGGTAAGCTGAAATTTGCTATTAAAACATCATTAAAACTCTTTAACATTTGTAAAATATTTTAAAACGTAAAAAAAAAAGTGTTGCAGAATGCTGCATCATTAGCCTGCCTTTCTAGCCACAACCCGTTACTCCAGATAAAGACTTCCTTATCAAATTTAAACACACTTGCTCAGCCACTGACAGCACTGTGTAATCAGGACCATAAAGCAAACCTGCATTAGAGGGAAGTGTAAACTAAGGGAGATGTATAGTAAGACTATCCACTACCTTTTTATAGTTTCTGACTGCCTGCAGCCACATTGATAATTAAAAGCCGCTCACTCAGTGCTGTTACGGGCTGAGCTTTGTGTATACGTTTGATAAAGAAGGCTTTCTGGCATGAAGGGGCATGGCTAAAGGGTTTTATGGTCAGCACTCTGCAAAACAGTTTTTTGCAAAATCTATAAAGATTTTGACCATGTAAAAATATGTCATATTAATATGGGCATTAAAGTTGCATTGGTGCCCGGAGCATTCCTTTTATGCCACACCATGAAGCCGCTGGCAAACAACTCAAAAAGCCAATGGCCATCATAGTCTGGCAGCCTGATTGCCCCAGACACTACAGTCTCCAGGATACTTTATTGTGGACCAGTCCAGGCATTGAAATTACCAAATTAAGCACAAAGCTTTTAATTGAGGCGTAAGTGCATCAGAAAACATTAGTATATCAGCGACCAAATCAAATAATGACATGAAACAGCACGTTGATACAGGCATAAAAAAAAAAAAGTACATGACAATGTTACATAACGTTTTTAAATGTGTGTCATCAGGAGAAGGATCCAACCTTTGTTATTTTTACAGGGAGTGCAGAATTATTAGGCAAATGAGTATTTTGACCACATCATCCTCTTTATGCATGTTGTCTTACTCCAAGCTGTATAGGCTCGAAAGCCTACTACCAATTAAGCATATTAGGTGATGTGCATCTCTGTAATGAGAAGGGGTGTGGTCTAATGACATCAACACCCTATATCAGGTGTGCATAATTATTAGGCAACTTCCTTTCCTTTGGCAAAATGGGTCAAAGAAGGACTTGACAGGCTCAGAAAAGTCAAAAATAGTGAGATATCTTGCAGAGGGATGCAGCACTCTTAAAATTGCAAAGCTTCTGAAGCGTGATCATCGAACAATCAAGCGTTTCATTCAAAATAGTCAACAGGGTCGCAAGAAGCGTGTGGAAAAACCAAGGCGCAAAATAACTGCCCATGAACTGAGAAAAGTCAAGCGTGCAGCTGCCACGATGCCACTTGCCACCAGTTTGGCCATATTTCAGAGCTGCAACATCACTGGAGTGCCCAAAAGCACAAGGTGTGCAATACTCAGAGACATGGCCAAGGTAAGAAAGGCTGAAAGACGACCACCACTGAACAAGACACACAAGCTGAAACGTCAAGACTGGGCCAAGAAATATCTCAAGACTGATTTTTCTAAGGTTTTATGGACTGATGAAATGAGAGTGAGTCTTGATGGGCCAGATGGATGGGCCCGTGGCTGGATTGGTAAAGGGCAGAGAGCTCCAGTCCGACTCAGGCGCCAGCAAGGTGGAGGTGGAGTACTGGTTTGGGCTGGTATCATCAAAGATGAGCTTGTGGGGCCTTTTCGGGTTGAGGATGGAGTCAAGCTCAACTCCCAGTCCTACTGCCAGTTCCTGGAAGACACCTTCTTCAAGCAGTGGTACAGGAAGAAGTCTGCATCCTTCAAGAAAAACATGATTTTCATGCAGGACAATGCTCCATCACACGCGTCCAAGTACTCCACAGCGTGGCTGGCAAGAAAGGGTATAAAAGAAGAAAATCTAATGACATGGCCTCCTTGTTCACCTGATCTGAACCCCATTGAGAACCTGTGGTCCATCATCAAATGTGAGATTTACAAGGAGGGAAAACAGTACACCTCTCTGAACAGTGTCTGGGAGGCTGTGGTTGCTGCTGCACGCAATGTTGATGGTGAACAGATCAAAACACTGACAGAATCCATGGATGGCAGGCTTTTGAGTGTCCTTGCAAAGAAAGGTGGCTATATTGGTCACTGATTTGTTTTTGAATGTCAGAAATGTATATTTGTGAATGTTGAGATGTTATATTGGTTTCACTGGTAATAATAAATAATTGAAATGGGTATATATTTGTTTTTTGTTAAGTTGCCTAATAATTATGCACAGTAATAGTCACCTGCACACACAGATATCCCCCTAACATAGCTATAACTAAAAACAAACTAAAAACTACTTCCAAAAATATTCAGCTTTGATATTAATGAGTTTTTTGGGTTCATTGAGAACATGGTTGTTGTTCAATAATAAAATTAATCCTCAAAAATACAACTTGCCTAATAATTCTGCACTCCCTGTATAAGTAATATTAGTTGTTGCTGACTTGTGCATCTGAAAAGGGAACCTTTACTCTCTTACTACAAAGCTAGTCCAACCAAATAAGAGTAAACGTAGAAAACTAAAATAAGTGTATAGAGAACATTCTGCAAATTTGAACACTTGGAAAACTGGGGCCCTTCAAATGCTGTTAAGGTTCCGCGTTTAATGTTGCCTTCTTAGGAGAGGTGACTAAGCCTCTAAGAAAATTTTAAAAGCTCCTTAATCCTAGAGCTGAAGGAGGGCTGGGTGTGCTGAGGGTCATTCGCACACTATCAGAATAAGCAATTGGGAATACAAATAGAAAGCACCATGAGTGTGCAAAACCCCCCACAAAAACCACACCATGTGAACACAGCAAGTGTATAAAAAGCAGGGGGGGGGGGAGTAAAAGAAATTGAGGAAACCTTTATCTACAATTAAGGAAACATTTAACTGGGCTGACAGGAGGAGCCAGAGTCTCAAGGGGCTGGAGATGACGCAGCTGTCATGGTCCATGTTGGTACCAATGACAAAGTCAGAGGAAAATGGAAGGTCCTAAAGAATGAGTTCAGGGAACTAGGAAGTAAGCTTAAGAAAAGGACCTCCAAGGTAATTTTTTCAGAAATATTACCTGTGCCGCGCGCTACAGCAGAAAGGCAGCGGGAGATTAAGGAGGTCAATGCGTGGCTAAAGTTTTGGTGCAGGAAAGGTTTTTTGGGGTTTTTAGAGCACTGGGCTGATTCTGCACTTGGGTACAACCTGTATAGTCATGATGGATTGCACCTAAACAGAAGAGGGTCTGCTGTGCTGGGGGATAGGATGGCTAGAAGGTTGGAGGAGATTTTAAACTAGTGGTAGGGGGGGAGGGTCAAAGCAATCTAGAAAATGGAGATAGGATGGAAAGGAGATGGGCTTTAGCTCAGAACAAAAGGGGTGGAGATGGGGGGAGGGGAAAGCTCAAAACAGAGGAGGTATGTAATATTGATAATTCACAAAAAGTACAAAAGACTCATAATATTAAATGTATGCTTACTAATGCAAGGAGCCTATATAACAAAATGGGGGAACTAGAGGCGATAGCATACACTAAACAATATGATATAATAGGCATAACAGAAACATGGTGGGATGACACACATGACTGGGCAGTAACTTTAAATGGGTACACGTTATTTAAGAAGGATAGGAAAAACAAGAAGGGTGGTGGGGTATGTTTATATGTCAACCATGAGTTAAAGTCAAATCTTAGGCATGTGGAGTGTGACGAGGAAAAGGTGGAGGCTTTATGGGTAGATATCTGCTTGGGGCAAACAAAGGGAACTCAATTATTGGTTGGGATATGTTATAAACCACCTAATGTAAATTTTATTGAGGAAGAACAGCTGTTAGAGCAAATTGAGAAATCGAGGTATGTTTACTGTGTCCCTGTATTGTGTAAAAGCAGGCTATTGAGCCTGGATTAAACACATTCGTTTTACCCCTTCATGAAGTTTAGGCTCATGTTTAGGGGGTTGGAGAGCTCTAATCACTACTCTGCTGGAAACAGGAGAGCTATAATCACTGCAGCAATTGGGATTCGGAAGACAACTAACAGATATACTCAGCTGGAGTATAGGGTATCCGTTACAAACATCTTTAGGAATTAAAGATTTGGTCATGCAGAGATAGTCTCTTCATCTGTTTGGGTGTTAGAATAGCGGTGAGCAGCTTCCTAATAAATCGCTGCAGTTCAGCCTAATCTATGGTGTTGAGTATCCCCTGTACCTTCAGGTTGTGCTGTCCCGCATTATTTTCCAGCTACCCGACCTTTGCACTATGTTGGGTACAAGTGGTGTTAATTTCCGTAAATTGCATTGTAGTCGAATCTTGTTTGATTCACAAAACATGGATATTTTCTTCCATGGCTCTAATCCAGCACATCATCGGGCCCAGGTCCTCCCGCTGCACCACCATTTTGGAGGCAAAGAAGGCCTTAAGTTCCGTGACCATCGTAGTAAGTTCTGATTGTGAAGCCAATGGGGATTCGGACTGCACCTGGCTTCTGTCAGGAGGAGATGGAGCCTCCATAAGGACTTAGTCTTCATCGTCTCAGGCCAAAATCGAGCTGATGAGCAGGTCAGACCTGAGGTCCGCCATCTTAGGCCTACATAACTGGGATAGAAACAGGTCAATATTTTGGGTGTGTGGCGGTCTGACTGGTACCCGGACTGGGTTTCTCCGCCAAACACGCTCCCTGGCTTTCACTGGGACACAATGAGTGCTCCAGCCCCTAGCCGCCAAAGCTTGGCTGGGGTCTCGGCATCAATTCCCACCCTGGAACATGGTCCTGGATACAGCTTCAAGTGATTAAAGCTCTCCTGCAGAGAATATAGCTGTATAGCTGGTCCACCCAAACACTAGTCGAGTGAAAGGTGAAAGGAACTGGTTTATTATGGCCAAGTTGCCTGCTTACATACATGTTCCCCAGCATGAGGTCTTCATTCAATGCAATACAAGATCTTTGTGTCTGGGAGATAATTGAGTTAAAAACCGGTAAGCTAATTGTCTCCCAAGAACAGAAAGCCAAACACAAAACATAAAAACATATAATAACCCCACATATCCTACAACCCCAAATAGCCCTGATCTGTGCGCCCAAGTTGTCCAAATAGCATTCACATCTATGCAGT